GCTCTTCAGGCAAACTTTCTTAGATTACAAACAAAATATCACTATGGGTAAGGGTCAGCTGTTGCTCAGGATGCTTCCCTATTGGAGGTTCACAATGAGTGAAGGTAAGAGAGTGTGATGCAATGCCTAGCACCTAAGCAGCACAGAAGCTGACCAATGAGGTCCCACAAAGGTGATGTGCTGTGTCCCTGGGAATGCAGGGACTGGATGAACATCAGGCCCTGTGGGAAGAAACTACTTGGCTGCTGCAAAGAACAGCGAGTTTTCCTTAAGTTGGTCCTTTATTTGGTCTTCAAGTGTTCCCTCTCTTAAAAAATGTCCATTTGATTATGCTTGGAAATCCTGCTATACGATGAAAGAATTCAACTTCTGCTTCCATGTGTGTTTATCAAATGGCTGGGAGGGTGACAGACCCCTAGCTCCAGGAAGCCAGAGAGAACTCAAATACAGACCCACAGCTCCAGGTGCTCATGGCTAGACGAGACAAACATGGAAACAGGTGATATCCATGCACAGGTGACAAGCTCTTAACTAGCTTATTGTCGAGGGAAGGCTCTTCGGATCTTTGAACCAGCAAGAGTTCCCTGACAGAGGAAACCAAAAAGAACCAGGCTGGGCTGGAGCCTGGAAATCTGGGCCTTGAAGAATCTTGTTACAGAGAGTAAGCATGGAGGTGACAGTTTGTAACTAGATGGACCATTCTGGCTACAATAGGAAAACATTTCATGGCAGAACACAAGACCGCAGGGAGAGAGTGGTAATTGTGAGAGGTGTGTCTGACTCTTATGAGATACACTAGCATGTTTCAAAGTGTATTTCTACTCTGTGGACCCAATATATGGACATGCTGATCTTATTTTCAGCCATTTAAATTATTTGGGGATCTTTCTCTAAACATAATTTGTGGATTTTGTTCACTTTCCAAGGTAACTAACTTCAGTGTGATCATTAGGGAAATGGTAACATTTTTAAGTCTTTTGATGAGCGCTCCCAGATTCTAGGAGTCTCCTCATTCACCCTTGCCTGGGGTCAAAGCCTGCACAAGGCTTCTTGGAATACCCAGCCCCAGACAGCCTGGCCATACCCTTCTTGGCTCTTGATATTATTTAAATAGTATGCATTTTTGCCAACCAGCTCAGTGTGAGTTTTCCAACCTTATTTTCTCTTGGCCCAAACGCTTTTTTTTTTTTTTTGGAAGATTCTGAGTGGGAGAAGGAAAAATTGTAGGGTGAGTGGCCTCCAGAGGAATGTATGAGAAAGACTGAGAACAGAGATTCATGGACAGGCTGAGAGATACTATATTATATGGTGCAGTGTGGGGCAATGGGGACACATGTAGCCCTGTGTGCTCTGTGTGTTCCAACTCTGAGTGGGGTCCTTTGCCCTGTGGGTGACCCTGGACGAATGTAGACTAAGACCAGCTGTGGCCTCTGAGTTTGAAATCTGTACAGAACCAGATTGAGGCTCCCCCCCCATCTGAGGTGGGGACCAGCAGAGGGCAGGACGACCTTCTGGGGCCTGTGAGCAACCCAAATCCCTACATATGCAGCGCAGGAAGCTTTGTCAGCCTTGACATGAGCAAGGACCCTGTGCACATGAATCCAGACCCCACAGAGGCCATAGGCATTGATCCCCTGCAGCTGGATTTGCAGACAGTTGTGAGTTGCTCAACCTAAGTGTTGGGAACTGAACTTGGGTCCTCTGCAAGAGTAGCATTATGCTCTTCATCCCTGAACCATCGTTCCAGCCCCCTTTGTTGTTTTTAATACATAAAATGAGCAAATACGTATTTCTGAAATGGCTTTCAACTTAAACAAATAATGATAGGCTATTTAAATAGACTTCAGAAATCTCTCCACTCGGAATGTTTGAGCAAGCAAGAGACTTTCTAGAAATGGCTTTTCAGAGGTTGGGTCCTGAACCCACGGGGTCCCCTTGCATGTTGGAATTACAGAGGGCAGGGTTTAGGGGTCACGTGCAATCCCCAGGGATTAAACGACTCACCGCCACCCTGTTCTACAATCCGATGGACTAACTAGTAATCTATATGGGACAAGGGGACATTGCCACTGCCACTTCCCTCTTCAGAGCTAAACATGGCTCCTTAGGGAGCTGTACAGCAGCATCCATGCAGGAGCAAGTAGGCATGACCGCCGGAGCAGGAAGAGCTAGTGCAGAGCTTGGACAACAAGGGGGCAGACAAGGACACGTTGTTATTACTGTGATGTTGTTATTACTGTGTTTGTTCCTCTTCTGGACCACACCTGACACACACATACACGAACTTAAGTAATGTTACTCTTTGTAGCCACCAGTTAGTTGTAAGGCTATGGCTAAGTAAATGAGGTTCATGGCTGGATACTTTGCTTAAGGCCGCAAACTGACAGATTTCAGAGCCTGGGAGGTGGAGGGTGTCACCCAGATCCTTCTGTAAGTTCAGAGGCTTTCCTAGACCTTGGGGCTTCAAACCCCGTCCCTACTTGCTGGGCCAGGAGGGACTAATTTAGCACACTTCACTCTCAGAAAGCCTTCGTTTGTTTGTTTGTTTGTTTAACAATGCACTTGAGAAATGACTCTTGGGATGCTCTCTGAACCTGTTTGTGAAAAGGGGTAGAGCCATGAAGGGCTTAGCCAGCCCCAGAAAGGGAGGGGTCTGGGGAGATAGTGCATCAGTCCCCTAGCACAGGGTACCTCCAGAATTGTCTCTGCTTCTGTCTGTCATATAGTCTGGGGACTATATGATCAGGAAGGTCACATGACCAGTAGTTTGCCACAGAAAACTATAGGACTTCAAGGAGCAGCCTGACCTTGTGGAAAGCAGAACTTAAAAACAGCCTAGGAAAGATGCCCGGAAGACCTGGGGCGTCTTTAGGGCTCACACACTTGTAGTGAGATATCCACCCCGCCACCCACACCTGTTGCACTGACCACGTCCATTAGGGTGTGGGGACAGGTGTGGGTGTGACCTGGGGGGACTAGGTCTGGGCTCCCGGACCCCAGCTTGCTCTCTTACTTCCCGAGAGCATGTGGAGGCTTGGGACGGGAACCTGCTGGTGGTCATTTGTTTCTGGTGTGATTTCTCCCTGAATAAACACCCATCAGCCTATCATTTCCCAGATTCATATTTATCTGGGTACACACTATCAAAGAGATGGGAGAGGACCCCTGGATGTGGCAGCTGTCTTTCTTCTGCCTCCACCAGTCAGGTGGTCCCCCTCATGGACAGAGAAGGCTGCTTCTTTGTGAATCCTCAGGGTGGAACCTGAACTGTGACTGAGCGAACCGTGCATATATTTCATTTGTGCTCTCTGTGTCTGAAACTCAAATTTAGACATGCTCAATCCATCAATAATGGATATATATGAGAGAAATCATTTGCGCCACCTCCTGGCAAAAAAATTAATCTAGCCCCTCCAGAGATGCCCAGATTTGCTTGTGGGTCAGCAACTCAGCCCTTTGCTAATGTGGCCTCCACCTCTGGGCTGTTTGTTCTATGGCCCTGGGTCTGGGTGTCCTGTAAACTGGAACATCTCAGCGTTGGTGCCATTGGTATTTGGATCTGAGTCGTTCTTCCAAGTAAAGGTTGTTCAAGCCTTCTAGGATGTTGACATCCCTGACATCTGCCCACTACATATCAATATCTCCTTTTCCCCAAGTAATGAGGACCAAATATTTTCAGACATCACCAACTGTCCCTTGGGGGAATGAGATGGCCCTGCCCAGAACCACAGCCAGCTTTCCAAACAGTGCCATTGGTAAGAAGGCCGCTACGAGGTGGCAAGGACAGTTCAGCACAAACCTGTCACGATTATTAGTACAAACTTGGATGCGTTGTCAATAGAGATCTGGGGACCTATTATTTTTAAAATGAATGGCTAAGCACCTTGTACACAGACGTATATCATAATATTGCTTTTAATTCCTAAAGTGTGAAGCATTGTGAAAATGTGTTTATAAAGTACAGGATGCCATGCACCCATGAAAAGATACCCATGTAAATACATAGTTCACAATGGAGCAGTTCCCCCTCATCATGCCTTTACCTCCCCTTTAAGGCTGCTCTAGGATCCTCAGTCGTGGTTACATATAGAAGGGACAGGTAAGCATGTCGGTAAAGTAGGTCAGACTCATAACAAAGCGAGGGCCGAGGAAACGGCCCAGCTGGTAAAGCGCTTGCCGCCACAGCAGCAGCCTAAGGACCTGTTTTTAATTCCCCAGCATTGTGTGAAGCTAGAACACATTCAGAGTCCCAGAGCCGTGAAGAGCACTGGCTTGGGTCTGGGTTCCGATCCTGACACTACCATGGACTGCACACACCCTTAACTTCTGTGGGGCTTACTTCCTCAGTAGGGTTTTAAAAGACAAATTCCTAGAAGCGAGCTAGATTGACTGTTCACCAAAACTGCAGCCTGCGATCTGGGCAGTTATGCTGAGCCCTTCTTATTCCCTCACAGCTGTCCCGTGACTGCCCTTGTTCCAACAGTCGGGCAAGATTTTCATCTTCTGAACAGGAAGAACTGAAATGATTTTCTAAGATTGGTATGAATATATAAAATGGTGCAAAACAGTACAAACACAGTAAAAGCACGTGTGAGATGCCTGTACTGCGCCTAATTATTTTCATGAATGGCCATGCCACCAAAAAAAATTGCAAAACTGCCCATTTTTCCCAGCATCTTTACTGACTTACTTATCTGGAACACTTATCCATTGCCCTCTATGATAGTTACTTGGGGGTGAACCGTGCTTCACAAGAGCTGTGTACATTAAGAGCTTCTAGTCTGCTTTACACAATGCACACTGCGGAGTTGAGGAGAACCTGACATTGTGCACAGGCTGCCAGGAAACACTTCTTGACTGAGTAAGTTGCTTTCCAGCCATTGCCTCCTGGGAAGAGTAGGTTTGCATTCCCCTGTGACTTCGGGGGTTGCCTGGCGTGCACGGTCTTCTGAGTTCTCTTGGTGGCTAATTTGTCCTTCTCTCTGTCTCCTCCATTGCAGGATGCATTTGTGGAACTGTATGGACCCAGTATGAGGCCTCCGTTTGATTTCTCCTGGCTGTCTCTGAAGACCCTGCTCAGCCTTGCCCTGGTGGGGGCCTGTATCACTCTGGGTGCCTACCTGGGCCACAAGTGAGGCCCATGGACCTGCTCCCCAAAATATGCAAAAGGTTCACTAAAGCAGTAGAAACAGTATGCATTATCAACGATGTATCATGAAACAAAGTTGTGATCTTTTTCTTTTAAGCTGAACACACACACACACACACACACACACACACACACACACACATTCAGGCAAACGGTCGAATCAGCTATTTACTGCCAAAGGGAAATATCATTTATTTTTTACATTATTTAGAAGAAAAGATTTATTTATTTAAGACAGTTTCAATGAAACTCCAGGCTTTGAAAAATCCTACCTGGAACTGCCAAGCACCGCTCTGTGGCGCCACCTGCTGGACTGTGCCAATGGATACCAATCTGTTTTCCATATTGGCCAGACAGGCCCACCATCTAAAGAGCAAATGGCCAGGACCCTGACTGCTGGGAAGCCTGTACTCTGGCTGTTGGGAGCTGGGAAGAAGGCCTCCATGGGATCTGTACAAACTGGCCTTGGAGGCTCCGATACTGTAGGAGAAGACACCTACAAGGAAGTCTGCTCTTCCTTGGGCTGGAGAGGGGACTCTGTATATGACTCACATGGTACATGCCCAGTCAGAGGACAAAGGCTGGGGACTTCAGATGGACTTGGTACCCACTGATAGGTCCCCACTGAAAGACACTGATGGGAAAATGCCCTTTAACCATAGGAAATTATTTTTTTAAGCTACCAATTGTGCCGAGAAGCATTTTAGCAGTTTATACAGTATCATCCAGTACCTTAAACCCTGATTGTAGATATTCATATATTTTGGATACACCCAGCCCTCTTCCAATGCTCACTCTGAGTAGCAAACAGAAGCTTCTGGATTCGAGGAAGTAGACTTGTGGTGACTTCTTCAGCATCAGGAAGAATGGGGTCACCCAGAATGTCAGGCGGCCACAAGTGCCTGCTCTTAGGAGACCAGTACCTGCAGAAGCTACCCTGTGACCCAGTGAGGCCTCGGCTTGGCTGAGCCTTGGCACTCAACAGTCTCGTCATGGGGGTTGTAGCAGAGCGGTTGGTCTCTGAATGTCTGGAAGCTGACAGAGCTCGGAATTGCACAGTCAGAAAGAGCAAAGACTCACCCTGGGGCCTGCTTCCTCTGGAACATGAGCGCTGTGACTCTTCCGCAGACATTTGTCACTGTAGAGAGAGAAGGCAGGCTTGGTGCCTGTCCGCCAGAGGTGTGTGAGGGCAGGGACATCACCACACCAGAAAGGAAGCCTGTCAGCCACATGTACCTGTTAGCAGTGGTCTGTCATGTTTAAGAAAAGGCTTTAAATTACTTTGGGGAGGGTCACAAATCCTAAAAGAAGCACTGAATCAAAGTCCAAGGATTCAACGGCCGGCCTGTGGCTATGGGATTACATGTAAAACATTATCTTGTCCTTGCAGTTTGGTTTTATTTGAAAACCTGGGAGAGGGAGTGGGAAAAAAAAAAAAAGGTTTCAGGTATGTATGGAATGTAGAGATTATCTGTACATCCTGGGGGGGGGGGGGAGGTGGTTTGTATAGAGGAATAACAAGAGAAGTGAAATCTCCAGCTAATGAAAAGGGAAACATCTTTTCTCCCGAGTTCAGAGTTTAGCCTTAGTGTGGAGTTACTCTGTGGCATTATCACACTCTGTATGTGGCATTCATCTGTATCAACTTTGGAATGTACTGCATTAGATGTTTTATTGCTGCGGTTGATATTTCAAAGGCTGCTTTTGAAAAGAATCCATGCATCTCAGCATCCTTTAGGTTGTATCTAGTGAGGACCTCTGAAACCTTTGTTAGCAAGACAAACAAAACCGATAACTTTTCCATTTGAGATACTTGTCGCTTGATTCTTCAAAAGCATTTCTGTGGAGGTAGGCGAAGCTTGAGAGACACCAGGGGCCTGAGAGAGCCTGGGTCTCACCGCCCTCTCAGCTGCTTTGTCCAGACTCACTTCTCTGCCTCTATAGAACCCCTCCGTGTGTCTACACCCCCCCCCCCCCGCCCCATGCTTATAGTGATGGATATAGCTGTTGTTCACTTGACCTTGTTTCTTCAAGGTTTACTTGTCACTGGATGATTCAGCATTGAACTTAAGTTACCTAGGATTACATGAATGTTTGGTTAAACCCAGGAGGTTCATGAGTTGGAAATCCAGATGGGAAGAGAGCAAAGGGTTAGAAGCTGACTAGAGCAGTGGGGCCTTCAGAGAGGTGCTTTGTGTGGCCTGTTCCAACACAGAGGCATCAGGAGTCCTCCCACCCTTCCTCTGGGCCCGTCTCCCTGAAATGCAGAGGCATCTTGCTTCACTGAGAGGGCAGGGAAGTCAGACCCCAGCCCCCCCCCAAAAGGCCTCAGAGAATAGGAGGCTCAGAAGTTTTCAAGTTGTCTTAATTTTTAAGAAAAATATTATCACATGAAAGGTTTCCATTCTGCACATGACGAATATGGAATAAGAAACCTGTGCTGCTGTCCTGCCAAGATCGTTGCAATGGTATCAGTTTGCAGTACATGTTGAATGGCGGGCTCCTTCAAGCTGCTTTAGAACTACCGATGAAGAACGTGGACATTTTTTTTTTTTAAAAAAAAAACAGAAAACCTGTTTCTTGTTTGGTTTTGCTGTTATTGTTCAAACTGGGATTTGTAGAGTATTTGAAAAATGTATATATATATGTATATTTAAAGAAAGAAAAAGGTCATAGGATTCCTTCAGGTGTGGGATTTTTTGTTCTCTGATTTGAATGGCAAATTCACCCCATCACTGGACCCCAGTATTATGACCCCAGCCGCAGCATTGTGGCTGCTGTTGGTCTAAGAGTAGTGGACGGTGCATTTCTTGTTAAAAAAAAAAAACATGTTAGAAGAACAAAGTGTATATAGAAGCCTCAACTAGACTTTTTCTTCCTCCTTTTTAAAAATAGCCTCACTTACTTTGCAATAAGGCAACAGAGACCATCCCCATTCATTTCATATTAACAAGGGTTTCCCGCCTGAATCTCAACTCCTCTGTAAGCTTTGGAACCCTCTCTACATCACAGTCAAACAGACATAGAACATGCACACTCCTCAAGCTACACTGAGAGGGTTAGGCGGTGTCCATGAGAAGGGCACCCTGACGCCTTCCGTTGCTCCAGGAGCCTCACCCAGGCACTCTGAAAGAGAAATGGAAAAAATGGAGGCATCCATCCCCAGTTACTTTTTCAGGGCCTGAGTATGTGTGCAGGCTTGAGCTTTCCAGGCAGCCACAGGAAAAGAAGTACTTTCATGTAGCTCAACTAAAACCCGCCATCCTGCCCAGCTCTCTTGTCTCTGCATGTTTGGGTGTGGCCTTCCCTCATACATATTTTCTTTTCCACTGACAAATATTTATTACATCTAAAAGCCTTGCTGTTTCTGAGGGAAGGGATAGCAAGGTTTAGGAAGTACTTATAAATCCACAGGGATTCTAATAACCAAGACTGAATTAGATAATGGGGTAATGCACACACATCTAGTTTCCACACCGAGCAGAATGGGCAGAATTGTGAATCATCTGCATTTGTAATCAAACCTAGACTAAAATAACACATAAATGTGAACTTCAGCTGTAACTGGGCTTTGAAGGCGGTGGGTGTCTTTATACTTTCTTATCACTTATTACAGTTAGAAATGCACACCTTCTCTATCAGGAAAAACTAACAGGAAAAGGTTGAAATATAAGCCAGTCTAAGGAAATTAGGGAGCTGCTGAAGTTCTAGCCTGATCTTATTCTATGGTGTCTATTGCAGTCCAGACAAATATGGTTACACACTTCTTTAAGAAATACAATTCTACATTGTCAGGCTCATGAGGGCTCTAATCAGATCTGTATTGTTGCCCAATTTGGATCTTTCAGGGATTTTTCTATGTCATTATTATATAGGGACAAAGGACATTTGTTATGAGGTGGGAGGGAGGAAGAATTTTTATATGAGTGGAACTTTGCCCAGACTGGACCAGTGTATGATGGTCTTCTACAAAATCAGAACTGTGGGGGATGAGGGACTTTTATAGGGGTCAATGTTATGTTCCTCTAAAGGCTTTTTTTTTTTTTTTGCAAGATGTGGGGATCATTTTTAGGCTCTATGGTACATTTAGGTCCCAGGGACACTGACATAGCTCAAAGTCTGGCTTAATGTAGCCATGCAGTAGCATATGTTTTAACTCGGACATGGCTAGTGAGTGTCTAAACAGTAAGTTTGACATTTCAACCAATGGGATACTTCAACAACAACCAATCTGTTTCTCAATGTTTATTAGACACAATGTAGGAAAAAAATGAAAGCAAAACATTGTGAGACTGACTTAGGTAAATGATTGTAGCTATCCCTTAGTCTTACCCAGGGAATCATCCGATCCTCCATCTATAGACACCTACGCATTGTCCATCTCACCATTCACAAAGAAAAATGGGTGGAGAATGAATGGTATGTTGCACTTCGTCATGGATAGCCAAGAAAACCTCAAGCCGATGTTTCATGCTCCAAGTTCAGTACAGAAGACAAAAAACAAAACAAACAAACAAACACAGTCGCAGAAGTTGGAAAAGCCAGTTTCTCAGATATCCTGGGAATGTGACTGTGCTGGCCAGGTGGCTATGCAGGGACATCTCCACCTGCCCACTTGAGGAACCCTGGTTCACTTCCTTAAAGTCTTCCCTCTAAGATAACATCTGAAGGATTGATGGTAGAGTTTTTTTGTTTGTTTTTTGGCTTTTTTTTTTTTTGAGAGAGAGGGATTGTTTATTGTAATATCTTCTTAAGGTTTCAACCAAGTTTCACTTTGCCTTCAGTTATATTGGGGTTATTTTTAAGTAAAGTAAGTGTACAAATCAGTGTTTTGTATCGAAAGCTTTGTTATCAAGATTTTCATACTTTTATCCATGGGCTGCTTTTAAGGTTGATACTTTTTGGTGTGGTTGATACCTACAGCACTGTACATACAAGAAAGTATCTAAGTGTACTTTGCATAGTTAAGGTCAAGTAAGTCTCCAGTTGGCTACCATTAAATATAATGGCACTTTGTTTGTGTTACTGGAAAATGTTACACTGCCATTAACTCCCCTTGTCTGTCTGAAGAAAAATAAAGTACAAAAATGGCATCAGCATTAGTTGTCCTCTCAAACTGTTTGTAACATGCTAACATCGTGTGCCTGGTGTCCATCATTACCAAAGATGACTTTGGAAACACTTCTTAGGAAGCCACTAGGACACAGTCAGACAAAGC